CTGCTAATTGGCCAGGGGGAAAATTCCTTTCTGACCCCAAATATGGTAATCACTTAGATCCTGACCATGTGGGCAAAACCCTCAGCAAGACACCTGGGAAAGAATTCTCTGTAGTAACTCAGAGCCCTCTCCATCTATTCTTGTGGAATATTGGAAGAATCTGTGCTCAGAGCAAATTGGTTAAAGGTCCAAAAATTAAGCTGCTTTGGGGAATTCCAGATGAAAACAACTTAATCAGGCATTGGATTAACCTATCATGAAAGGCACCAATCTACCTACTTACAAGAAAAGAGTTAATAGAGAGTCCTGTAAATCCGAGAGCATACATGAATCAAAACATAGCATGGTGAGTCTTCTTTTAGGTCTGTTGCCTTGAAAGTGTCTCTTTAATAGTGGAAAGATTATCAGAATCAGTTTGTGTAATTTCAATTTTAGAGGATGCCACAATGGTCTGTTGTAAAACCTGAACAAAACAAATCTTGGGTCAGCTTCTGTGTTGTACTGTGGCCTCTTTGTGATGCTTTGGTGGCATAAAGTGGCTATAGATTGAGCAGAACAGACCCTGAAGACAAAGAGATGTCAGAAAGACTCTGTTAACCCTTTGCCACCCTTGGTGTGGGGATACGCTGGAGCATAACAGGGCATGTCAGGGAAGGAAGGAGGCATGGCAAGAGAATGCTGCAGTCAAGCTAGTCTTGTTTGTAAAATGCTTTCTATAGTAGCTCCAGCTGAACTATATGCTAGGCTGAGTACTTTGTACCTTTTCCTTATCCCAGTTCCTGCTACAAGAGCTGTATTTTCTTTAGAGAGGGATGGAGAATCTGGCTGCTGATGGGTATGCATTCTCAATGCAGAAGTCTGGATCACAAACCTATTCCTTGTGAATACAATCATTGCAGGGCAGATATAAATAGGTGATTATTAAAAAATAAAAAATTAGCATTTTTAAATTTAAAATCCAGATTATTTTATTTAAATTGGATTTTCAGTGGAAACTAAATGCATGTTTATGTAAAAAACTATTTTAAATTCAGTTTGAAATCAACAATCTGTTAATGGTCTTAAACTTATAATAATTGAAATAAAATAAAATAATCTTAAACAGTACATATTTGTTGCCAAGTTTTAAAGGAAGTCAAAGCACTAAATTGGTGGAAGTCACTGACAAAGCACCGGGAACCAGAGTTTGTTGAAGAACTAAACCCAGCTTTTGAGAAATGTGGATTCTTCTGCAGGTGCAGAGAAAATATTTTCTTTAGTTCTGTTTATTGAATTCTTTCAGTACAATGACTAGTTTGTTCAAAGTTAAGAGAGTGACTTGGAATTGAAAAAGCCAGAAAGCTTGTTTTTCTTTTTCAAATCTATTACAAAAAATTAGGTGTGAGAGGCTGAGTTCCAGGGGCGCCATTTCAGATGTTGATGGGGGAAGGGTGTGACCTGTGCAAACTGTAATGGCAGGAGGAAGAGAGTGAGAGCATGGGGGTGGAGCAGACTAAGGAAGGCAGCTTCATCAGTGTTACTAAGCGTGCTCAGTACAAGCCAAGCAGCAAATTGGAGGTGGGGGACTGAACCCATTTCCCTCCCCCCCTCTACACACACATTACCTTTTTCTAGAGATACTAAGACACTGGAAAACTAGTTTTTTGGCTGATAACTTAGCAATTAGCTGACAAGAGCACTGTATCTAATTCCTATATAAAAGAAAGAAAATGAAATAAATATTAGACCCATTCATCTCTAATATTAACATGTTCTGACATCTTGTGACGTGTTCTAACATCAAGTCACTTAATGGATGCTAGTTAAAATTTTAATATATATTCTAACTTTGTTACTAACTTTGTGGGTGGGGGGGGGGGGGGAGAGAGAGACTGTCAGGATTATTGGCCTCTATTTCATCTCCAGAAGTGGAGTAGGGTCTAGTGGGTTACAACAGGGGGCAGATACATTTGGGCTCTATATGAGATCAGAATGGCCATACTAAATCAGACCAATGGTTCATCTAGCCCAATATCCTGTTTTCCAACAGTGGCCAATGCCAGGTGCTTCAGAAGGTATGAAAAGAATAGGCAATCATCAAATGATCCATCCCTGTTGCCCATTCCCAGCTTCTGGCAAACAGAAGCCACAGACTCCATCCCTGCCCATTCTGGCTAATAGACATTGATGGACCTCTCCTCCTTGAACTTATTTTATTCTTATTGGAGCTCTGTTATAGTTTGGGCCTTTCTACCATCTCCTTGCAAAGAGTTCCACAGGTGGACTGTGAAGAAATTATTTATTTTGTTTCTAATTTGCTGCTTATACATTTAATTGGGTCAGCCTCTTGTGTTATGTTAGTGAAGGAATGCATAACGTTTTCTTATTCTATTTTTCTACACCATTCATGATTTTCTAGACATCTGACATATTTCTCCACCTGTTAGCCATTTCTTTTCGAAGCTGAAAATTCCCAGTCTTATTAATCTCCCTAATCATTTCTGTTGCCCTTTCTGTACCTTTTCCAAATCCAATATATCTTTTTTAGATGGGGTGACCAGATCTGCATGCAGCATTTCATGTGCAAGCCTCCTGCCCCAACCTGAGCCCCACCCCTTTTGCGGAGGCCCTGCGTTCTGGGGGCCAGACATGGGTGGGGCCAGGCTGGCAGATTGGCAGTTTGGGAAGGCAATGCCTTCCCCCACCTAGCATACCAACAGCTCCATGCAGTATTCAAGATGTGACCATATAATAATACAGAAAATATCATTTTGCCTCTTTGTAATTATCTATTCCTCTCCTAGTGTTTTCCAATATTCTGTTAGCTTTTTAGTTTTTAGACTGCCACTGCACATTGAGCAGATGTTTTCTGGCAACTACTCATCATTTTTGTATGCATAGTTGGGATTATATTTTTCCCGGTGCATTATTTTGCATTTATCAACACTGAATTCTATTTGCTCTTGTGTTGCCCAGTAATCCAATTTTGTAAGATCCCTTTATAACTCTTTGCAGTTAGCTTTGCACTTACTACAGAATTTCTCAAAATAGTTATCTGGAAATGTTACCACTTTTAATATTTAAAAGTGGTAACTGTAAAAGTTTAACAGTCCTTGTCCAAATGCAAATCCCAGCAACACCATACTCATCGCTACTCTCCTCCCTCCCCCAGGTCTTTTGAATGGAGTACCCAGAAATGTTTTCATGATGATCTCACAATCCTTTAATTACTTGAATGACCAGGTTTTTCTTATTCTTAATCACCTGCCTCCCTCTTCTTATAACAAACTTCCTCCCCCAAAGGCAATGCTGCAAGCAGCTCAAATTCTGTTGCATTTAAGAACAGCCTTGGGAGCCAGGGCATGCAGCTTTAAACAGACCTCAAGTATGAAATCCAGTGCCTCAAACTTCAGGGGAGGGGCAGCTCCCTAAATGGTGCCCTTGCTGAGATACTCTGTTTCTAAAATCTTGAAGGACATGATAACAGAGAAAAATTGGTTATTTTTTTCTCCACTCTCATCTGAGGAAGAAGGTTTTGCTCATGAAAGCTCATGATACCACATATATATTTTTTGTTAGTTTCTAAGGTGCTACAGGACTACATGTTTTTTTAAGGTAGCACGCAGGGCCAAAGCAGAGCTCCTTTCCCCAATGTGCATGGCAGCAACCATGATCCCAGGTGTGGAACTGGCAGCCGAGACCCCACAGTGTGGGTGGCAGATGTTTCTCCAGGCATGGGGCTGGAAGCAGAGCCCATGATGCATGTGGAGGCAGCCAGGACCTAGGTGCTAGGCTGAGCACCCGGGGGTTCTGCAACACCCCCTGCACCTCTAGTTCCCATGTCTCTGATTTGCAGACTGTGTTGTGAACATCTAGGCTGCGTCTAGATTGGCATGATTTTCCGGAAATGCTTTTAACGGAAAAGTTTTCTGATAAAAGCATTTTCGGAACAGAGAGTCTAGATTGGCACGGACGCTTTTCCGCAAAAGCACTTTTTGCAGAAAAGCATCCATACAAATCTAGACGCGCTTTTCCGCAAAAAAGCCCCGATCGCCATTTTCGCGAATGGGGCTTTTTTGCGGAAAACAAATCTGAGCTGTCTACACTGGCCCTTTTGCGCAAAAGCTTTGCGCAAAAGGGACTTTTGCCTGAACAGGAGCAGAATAGTATTTCCGCAGAATAGTATTTCTTACAGTAGGAAGTCAGTGCTTTTGCGAAAATTCAAGCGGCCAGTGTAGACAGCTGGCAAGTTTTTCCGGAAAAGCGGCTGATTTTCTGGAAAAACTGGCCAGTCTAGACACAGCCATAAAGTGCTGTAAAACATTAGCTAGTCTAGATGCTTGGCTTCCCGAATTGAGCACCCAAACTTAGTTAACACTTTTAACAATTTTGCCTTGAATCTCTATGCTGTTCCCCATCTATAAAAAGAAGCTTATACTGTCTCTTCTCACAAGGGTGTTGTGAAGAAAAAGTCAATAATGACTGCTAAGCACTAAGATGTGATTATGAGAGTACCATGACAACTCATGAGGAAATTATCATTAATAATTCTATATTCAGAGGAGGGTTTTAATCTCTGCAGAAGACAATGCTATTAACAATTATTATAAAAAGAAATATAGAATAGCTACCCATTCTGTGAGCCCTTTCATCATGCGCACAAAAAAAAGGCAGGGGTTCAATGGGAAAAATAGTATGCAGTCATGTAATCAAAAGGGATAGAATTAAAGTTGCACAGCAACTTTGATCCTGGCTGTGGATCTTATTGCAGACTTATTGGATGTTATATACAACATAAGCTAAGTTTGCTGCATTACATCTAGGATGCTCTTTCATCTCCCCTTTAAATAACTATAATGCCTTTTTTTAAAAAACTTTGTTTACAGAAGTGGAATCCTTCCAAAATGACAGACAACCAGTCAGACATCAGTATTCAAATGTCAAGTATAAATGGCTTGCCCAGCAGAAAGCAATCCTCTCTGGACCCAGCAAGCAGCAAAGAAACTACTGTGACCTTTCATATGTTGTCGAAAAAAGGTCGATAAAGAAATTTTGAAAGATATCAAGTATGTATTTTAACGTCTGTCTCATAGAGTACATACTCATTTGATTAACTTTCTTGACAGGCTCAGATAAGTCATAGAGCCATGAATGCATGTGTAATAATAGTATACCAAATTTGGTCAAGATTTCAAAAAATCTTGTAGGCTCCAAAGTCCATATTTAGGAAAAATAAAAAGGTAACCTGATTACCAAAAGGGCTTGCATCTTTGAATTCTGACTTCAACAGAAGCTGCTAGGTGTTCAGCTCTTTTGCAAATTAGGTCATTTACTCAGCTGCATAGCAGCATAACTTTTGAGAATCCTGGCCCTAGCTTTGAGTTCAGACTCAAGACTTTAAAGGTAGCAAAGAGTGATTATTCTGTAATCAGATAAATGCATGTGAGTGTTTCAATGCCCACAATTTTATTGCACTGTTTTCTATTACAATTATAACCTAGTAATTGCATGATATTACTCTTGTTGTCAAGGATTCCTTGTACAATGCTTGCCACTTTCCAGTTATATAAGTCTGAATTGCAGGTCATGACAGTTAGTTGTATAACCTGCCATTCCATTATGTAATTGTACTTTAGTTCTCTAATTTTAGCTCCCAGAATGCTTGAAAGTTTGGAACTTTATGTATACAGTACTGCTCTTTACCCTTATATCATTTCTTAATTCCTTGAGGCCTGGTCCACGCTAAGGCTACGTCTACGTGGCATCATTTTTGCGGACGAGGAAAAGCAAATGAAGCACTCATTAACATTTTTCCGATCCTTTTTGAGGAAGAGGTTTCTGTGGAAAAAAACGCAGTGTAGAAGGGGCCATTTTTTTTGCAAAAAACCCCCTACCTTTTGTGCAAAATCCCTTATTCCTCAAAAATGAGGTTTGCAGGACCTAAGGCTGCGCTTAATTTTGCCGCCTGTGTACACTGGCCGTGAGTATTTGCGCAAGAACACTGACTTTATAATGTACAAAATCAGTGGTTCTTGCTCAAATACTCGGATGATCCCGCTCAGGGATAAGCCCTCTTGCACAAGTATTCTTGTGCAAGAGGGCCAGTGTAGACAGCAATGTTAATTTCTTGCGCAAGAAAGCCCGATGGCTAAAACGGCCATTGGAGCTTTCTTGCACAAGGGAGCGTCTACACTGGCACGGATGCTTTTTCTCAAAAGCAAATCTTTTGCGCAAAGGCACATGCCCGTATAAACGCTGTCTTGCACAAATACTTTTAATGGAAAAACTTTTCCGTTAAAAGTATTTGCGCAAAATCATGCCAGTGTAGACGCAGCCTTAAGAGTTTAGGTTGAATTTAGCCACATAAGGTTGATTTTCTAAACAATGAATCCACACTACCAAGACCATTCTGTTGACCTTAAGTGCTGCTAAAGTCCATTTCAGTGCTCCTGATTTTCACAAGGAGTAACGTTAAATTCGACCATGCATGGTCGATTTTATGGTAGAGTAGATGCAGTGTTGTGAAAGTTGACATTTTTGGCCTCTGGGAGGCTTCCCACAGTGCCCCACTGTGACCGCTCTGGCCAGGACTTGTGACCCTATTGATCTCCGGTTGAAAAGGAAAAGCCCCAGGAAATTTTGAATTTCCCATGTGAACAGTATGGTGAGCACATCTCAGAGCAGGCAGCACACTTGAGCAGCACATCTGGCCATGAGTTCAAGTTCCATGACCTTCAGTTCCCATGGGCACAGACGAGCATCAGCATGGAGTGTGAAGGATGTTCTCCCTGCGGCATTGGGAGAGGAATCCATTCTTGCAGAGCTGCAAATCAACAGTAGCACTTCCCTGGCAAGTGGAGTGTGCTGGATACAGAGGGGCACTACATCAGCCACCACCCTGCTCAGCTTTCACAACCCGACTCCATTCCCTCTCTCGCCCACAAGCTCCTGCCCACAAGTAGCACTCTCCCAGCAAGTGGGGTGTGCCGGACACAGAGGAGTGGTCCTGGTCCGGAAGTCTGACTGGACCACATTTCCTCTTCCACTGCAAGCTATTGTGGGAAAAGGGAAAGTAGCACTCCTGGAAGCAGGGTGTGCTGGACACAGGGGGCACAGTGTCAGCTGCTGCTCTGCCCCTCTGGCACAACTGGACCTCATTCCTCCTCCTGCCCACAGGATCTTGCCCTGGCAGGTCCATTACTATGCCTGCAACTTGACAATTCTGCATCCCTTGAGAACTTTGTTGTGTACCTGCTGTTCTTTAAAGCATAACTGTGGCCTTGCACAGAACATATCTCCATTGTCTTTACAGAGACCTTCACTATATGTTAACAGATTAGGTTTTAGGCTCCACAATGTATCTCCTGTGCCCTTGTGACTTTTCATTACAGTGGGAACAGCAGGGAGCTTGCTGCCTATTCCCCTGGTTCCACCAACTGTCCCCTTCACACAAATCTGAAGGTACAAAATGGACCAGGGAAGACATGTTCAAGAAGCAAATGCAATCCCTCGCGTGGAGTGGGTAACCGAGTGGAGGAATATGTTACTGGACGAGATGCGAGCTGAGTGTCAGGAAAGATTTTGGAAGTTACTCCATAACTTCTGAGCTACATATTCAGAAAAATATCCTCCTTTAAAAAACATTTTAAATACCCTTCTAATTCCAGAGGATGTTGCGTAAACTAAGACTTTAACAGGGTTCAAAAAGGAGCTAGATAAATTCATGGAGGTTAGTGCCATCAATGGCTGTTAGCCAGGATGGTTAGGAATGGTGTCCCTAGCCTCTGTTTGTTAGAGGCTGGAAATGGATGACAGGCGTGGGATCAAGTGATGATTACCTGTTCTGTTCACTCCCTCTGGGACACCTGGCATTGGCCACTGGCAGCAGACAGGATACTGGGCTAGATGGACCTTTGGTCTGTCCCAGTATGGCTGTTCTTATATTATGTAACTTTGACCAAAAATGCAATCTGCATTCAGAAGAATTCTCAAGTCTCAGATACAACAGAAAAAGAAAAAAACAGACTAATTTGTTTGAAATCAGAAGCAATTTTTGGCAGAGATCATGGAACTATAGTACCACGCTGAATGTTCATTCATATATAGTATAGGTGATTTAACTTCTGATTGACAAAAACAACAGAGGAAGAAAGAACAAATGTAATGTATCTGCAGAAACAGGGTAGGGATGTAGGTCTGAGAGGGTGGGAAGTGTAGGAGAGATGTGGGGAGTCTGGGTTGGAGCTGGGGTGCAGGAGCAGGCTAGGGATGAGGGTGCAGGATGTGGTTCTTGCCTTGGACTTTATTTTCTCCATTCTGTATACTAATGGAGTGATGCACATGAGGTTAGGGGAACTTTCAGAGGAGTTTAGGTTAGGGATGTAAGCAACTAGTTGACTACCTGATAAGCCAAGGTTTATTGGGTAATCGAGTTGACTACTCGCATCCCCCCCTTGCTGCCCTGTATCAGAGGAAGCAAGGGAGGAGGGGAGAAGCAGGAGCTGGTATTGGTGGGAGCTGGCTTAAAAGCTGGTTACCCTTATCACCATCTCTATAGTGCTGCCTGGCCCTCCAGCAGAGGCAGCAGCATGGGGAGGAGGCAGGGCAGGCTGCCATAAAGCAGCCTCTGCTTTGGTTCACGCAGAGACCGGGGGTGGAGGGAAGTCCTTCATGAGTCAGATAGTCTAGATACCATGCCCTCATTTCCCAAGAACACAGAGCTGGTAGTAATAGACCCAACAGAATAAAACTTTTGCTATAAAAAGGAAAAAAAAACCTCCAAGGTACAAATCATCAAAGTACAAAAACAGCAAGTGCTATAAGAGAAACACAGATAGAATTGCTAAAACCAGTAACTACTAGTTACGTAAATGATTGTGAGCTACATATACAGAAAAGAGCTATTAAAATAAAAACAAATAGTACAATGACATGCATTGCACAGAGCAATAAAAGTAGCTTTTGCAAAGGAGCAAAACTAACTAAAATGGATTACAAGGATGGAAGTGCAATTCATGGGATCAGAGCAACTGATAAGACTAATTGTGAACTCTTATGAGATATAAGACATTGACATATACACTGATAAGAGACTTCTAAATCTTCAAAATGTGTGCAAGTTTGAACTATCTCACCCATTACCAAGATAGTTTCCCCAATTATCACCTCTAATACCATTAACTCACAAACATCCCACTCTCCCTACCTCTAATATCATCAATTCACAGACACTTACCTTCCTTCCCCCTCCCCCCCACCGCATCCCCCTCCTGTTCTGCAATGTGATTTGTCCTTTTCATATTTGTTCTTTTTTTTAATTGTATCCTTTGGTATATACGGTTGTGACTACTTTCTTCCACTATTTGATCTGAGGAAGTGGGTCTGGCCCACGAAAGCTCATCATCTAATAAACCATCTTGTTAGTCTTTAAAATGCTACATTGTCCTGCATTCTGCTTCAAAATGTGTTGCACACTCCCTTACATGCCGCATGTGGGATGTTTACAAGGTTCAGTCCCTTGTGCTGTAGCAGTGCAGAGAGAGAGGCTCTGTGGGGGCTAACAGTGAGGGCCGAGGCAATAGGGCAGCTGTACCTTTAAGAGCACAATCATAGCTGCCCTGTACTCCCGTGCGCCTTAAAGAACTCTGAGAAGGGAAATAAAAACCCCTTTCTGCCCCTCCCACCCCTGCCTCTGCACACTTGGCAGCTGGCTCACCCCC